GAACATTCCAAACCTGTTCTGGATGTCGAGGAATTTGACAGCTTTTTTCCTCCATCTGATTTTGCCATGTCTTCCTATGCCCCTACTGCAGAATCAGCTAGGCCTAATATGGATTTTTTGGACATGATTTATCAGGTTTTATAAATTTCCCTGATTTCTTATAATATTCTTTTTTCCTTGCTACATGATACCTCCTTCCTCTCAATATTTTGTCCCCTCCTTCCTTGGATATTAGGGTTCATGCAGAGCATTTTGTATTTCAGTTGCATGAGGGTGCTAGTATGCCTCACTCTCCATAGGCTTTTGATCAGTTTGCTTTAGTCTACTATCAGGCTGAATTTCCGTTTCTTGATTCTCAACATTTGGAATTGTTTTTGCCCATACACATGTGTTTCTCTGTTGGGATCTTCTGGGGAGAGAGACTGTATTGCCCAAGTTTGTTTACCACCTACTTATCTTCAGGACTTGTATATGGTCCCTTTTCTTCAACAGTCTGTTTTCAGAGATATTCTTGAGACTTTAGAATCCTGTGAGGAATCAGGGAGATAATAGCAATTGACCCTTTCACCTTTGGTTGATTGTTTATCTCATTCTGAGTCTATTACTGTTTCCCGTCCTGCTCCTTTTCAGCCTTTACCAGTTCCTACCTCTAGGGGTTCCTCCACTCATCGTATTATTCGACGCAGATGGACATGTTGCCAACAGTATTGGTGACTGTCCTATGGGCTCTGATCCAGTGGGAGTTTGCTTGACTGATCTTGCTCCCCTATGGTACAATTTTGCCACAGATCTTTGGGGTATTATCTGAGGGACTTGTCATCCAATTCCTTTCCCCCTCCTCTGTTATCTCAGGTGCCCATATCCTTTCCGTTGCCTCAACATCCCACCACCAGTCAATGTTTGTCTGAAGCGGTACTGAATCTTCTTTCCCAGAAAGTCCTTGAACCTATACCTCGTCCTTCTCCTTGCTTTTATTTCAGGCTGTTTGTTGTACCCAAAGAAACTGGGAACTGGTGGCCTGTGATTGATCTGTCCTATCTCAGTTCATTTTTGGTTCTGCCTTGCTTTACCATGGAGTCTTTTCTCAAGTGAGCTTTTTTTTCCAGGTCTGTGGATAACCAAGGTAGACATCTTGAATGCTTATCTACATATTCGTATATGTCATTGGTGAGGTGATGTCTTTGGTTTGTTCATCACAGGGTAGTGTATCAACTTTGTGCCCTACTCTTCTGGCTTACTTTGGTACAATATGTCTTTTGTCGAGTGGTCAAAGCGTTTCCCAGACACATGCATGCTCTGTGGTTGCACTTATACCATTCCATGGACGACTGACTTCTGTTAGCCTATTCCAAATGGGAGCCTCCAAAAGAAGCAGATTGTGTGGGCTGGTTAATCAAGTTGGAAAAGTCATTCCTTATACCTACCTAATATTTTGTCCATTTGGGTGTCTTTTTCATCACTCATCTCAGTTGGGCCAAACCTTCTCCTCTTCGACTCCATTTGATGGAGCTTTTAGTTCTCCATGCCCTTATTGCACCCTCTAATACTGCTGGCAAGGTGCTATAGCTTTTGGGGATGTGGTCTTCTATGGCAACCCTTATCCCCTTGGGTCTAGTGCATATGAAGTCACTTCAGTGGATTCTGCATGACCAATGGAACCTTGTGTAGGATTCCTTGGATGCTTCTATTTCCCTTTCTTCTTCTGTTATTGACATTCTGCACCCACATATCAGTGGGTGGTCTAATTCCTTCCCCTCATCTAGATTTGCATATCTTCATGGGCACTTCCCTCCACAGCTGGGAGGCATATGCTGATCAGCAGGAAGCTTCTGGTCTGTAGTCTCCAATTGTGAGGTCTTACCATATCAGCATCCTGGAGCTTCTGGCCTTACATTGTACTTTGGGTCATTTTCTTCATCTTGCTAGGAATCGTCTGATCATGATCAAATCCGACAATTCTATGGTGGTAGCTTATATCAGTTGCCAAGGCAGCACCTGTTCTCGTTCCCTTTGTGATCGGTATTTGTCTCCTCATGTTTCATGTTCTGGTTGCATTCAACCTTGTTGCAGATCATCTTTCCCAACCGGACATAATTTCTCTGACAGAGTGGTCTCTTGATTCTCATGTTTTCCAGTGGCGATACCTACGGTGGGGCCTCATCTGAATATGTTTGCTACATCCCTCAATACCAAGTTATCTCTGTTTTGGTCTCTAGTTCCTCATCCGCTTGCACTGGCTGTCAATGCATTCAGCCAGGATTGGACCAACAAATATCTTTATGGGTATCCTCTCATCCATCTTCTTCCCAGGGTGATTTCGATCATCTACTCTATGTCAAGTCCTTTTAATTGCTCCTAACTGGCCAGCATAACTATGGTTAGTGAGACTGCTCAAGCTCCAGTCTTCCCCACCATTACATCTTCCTCTTACTCCATCCCTTCTATGTTAACCTCAGTCACTGGCATTTCATCCAGCCCTGCCTACCCTCCATCTACATGCCTGGTTTTTATTCGGTCCTATGTGAGGAGATCTGAATTGTCACTGTGAGTTTCCTTGTTTTTAGCACATTCCATTTCCCCTTCCTCTGTGGATGTTGATTAAGGTAAATGGAACATTTTCCCCACCTGTCACATCCTCTCTTTCACAATTCGTTGATAGTTCTCTCTTACTTTTCATTATATATTACCTATAACCAATAGAAAGTCAAGATTTTCATCTATCAAATGATGTATTGTGTAATGTTGTATTCTGAACAGAGTATCGTCAATTTCACTCACAATGCAAGATTCAGTCTTGTAGGAAAGTTAACGACTAGCTTGGATGAATTTGTAACAGCTCTCGTCCCATAGTTAGAAAGCCATAAAAATTTTTGAGAGGTAAGTGAATTT